GTTGTTCAACATGGAGTATATGCAGCCTGATGCTGGTGTGTTTCAACATCAAGTGTTGTGGGCTGCGTGTGTCAGAAGTTCAGGAAATACGCCAAGTTAACTCGCTTCCGGGGACTGTGGTGTTCAATTCTGCAAAGTTCGAGCTAGCTGGGGTTAATTCAACACATATACAGTGCCTTGGGGGGCCCAAAACAACCACCAATCTGTTTCCGAACCCATCAACCAAAAGCCTGAAGCAGTTCGCAGAAAACAGCCTGTTCCAAAGAACAATCATCCTTAGGGTATACTTCCAAAAATGAAAATAAAAACGACAAACAACATTATTACACATATTACAAATTATCTACGGGAACCTAAGTCCGCATAACAAAATCAAATTGGGGGAAGATACCGGGGGGTCGGCTAATAATCAGAACTCCAAACACTGTGTTGTCGTATTTCACTCTCAACAGCTTTGGTCCTCTTTTTATAGAAATCACCCTGTGTTCAATTCTACAGCCTCTCCAATCCTAACGTGGATGATGTTCATTTGGGTGTGCGCACTCTAAACAATTTCAAAAAGGAATCATTAAAATGATACAAAGAAATATGAATGTTTTTTATACAAAATCAGCCGAGTCTATTCTCTGGACGATTCCTATCAAAAACCTTCAGTTGAAATAGCGTAAGATTGTGCTCACAAAAATATTCTAGAGCTCTGATCGATGTTCACAACCTACCTAAATTACATATATATACAAGTGTTGATTTGCATGATCGCATATGAGGGTAAACAACTCCTCAAACCGCATTGTGGTCATAGATTGATTGAAGAAAAAGAAAGAGATGAAATCCTTAAGCTTTGGTGGGATAGACCCGCCTCTTGCAATCTTTCCACCAACGCAAAGGAGCTTCGAGTTTGATCTTCAAGATAGATGAGAGAATATATGGACTCTACTCAAAGATAGCAAGGAACAAGAGTGTTAAGGGCTTTGGTGAATTGTTCTAGAGATAAGGAGGGAGAAATGAGGTTAGGAGTGAAGAAAAATGCCTAATTTAAGTGATATAGGTTTCGGCTCTATCAAGAAGACCATAAAAAAACAGAGTTCGATGCCCAGACTGCACAGCGGCGCGCTCCTCCCCGACATGCCGATGCCTTGTCCGCATGTGCGGCCCTTCAAGCCCCTGCCATTGCGGGCCCTCCCCCTACTCCTCCGCACCACTGCCTTTTAAGCGTTGTGCAAACCCCGATCCCAGCCCTACATATGCAGCGTGTGTTCCCCCGCCCACACTGCGGGCCGGTAGAGACCCCTGATGTGCGGTCCCCTGGCCAGAAGCCATAATTTTTTCCGACGAATTCTCTAGACAACTCCGACTTGAACGCCCTCAAATTAAAAAATAACTATTAACCATTAAATATAGACAATGCTGTTGAATATTAAAATTTCACAATCACGACTATCCTCCACCGATAGCCCAAAGCAGTTATTTCTAAACAAAAAAAATAAATGCACAATGGATATTCAATCAACATTTCATTTTCTCATTTCTCACAATTAATTATCCCAATTAATCAAACAATGTAATTAGGTCGTTATCCATAATTACCATTTCAACCCTTAGGTCCCATTTTCATCAATGATTCAACTTCTATTCCATTTCTCTATGCCAAACATGCATCTAGGTTTATTATGAATAAAACCCTCAACTTTTGTAAAATTACACAAAAGCCCCAAACTTTCACAAAATTACCAAACCAGTCCCAACATCTCAAAATACCAAAATTTAAAGACAAAATCCATAGAGAGGAGTAGGATATCCCTACCTCGAAGTTTAAGCCAAAAAGGAGATGAAGACTCGAAGATCAACGTGCTCCAAATCCAAACTTTTTCAGATTAAAACGAAGCTCCCAACGCCCTCTATCTGTTTAACAAAGGCCCTAGGCTAGATTCACACCCTAGGGAGATCAAATCTTAGAGAGAGTGTAAGTTTAGAGAGAGAGTGTCTCGGATCAAGGGTTTGAAAGGAAAATAAAGTGAAAAAGTGATGTTCAAAAGCGCTACTGTCCGCTGATATAAAACACTCTCGCTCGAGCGAAGACTTTGTCGCTCGAGCGACCAGACACAGAAAACACTCGCTCGAGCCAAGAAGTTCTCGCTCGAGCCAAAAACTCAAAAGTGAGCTCGAGCGAAGGAATGCTTGCTCGAGCCAACAACTCAAACCCTCAGGTCTGCAACCGGAAGCACGCTCGAGCGACAGACCTCTCGCTCGAGCGAAGAACAAACCAGACCGCTCGAGCCAAGAAAAACTCGCTCGAGCCAAGAAATTCAACTCTCAGGTCCAGAACCAAACGCAATCGCTCGCTCGAGCGAAGCCACTCTGGCTCGACCCACCAGACACAAACTCAACTCTCGCTCGAGCGACCAACTCCTCGCTCGAGCGAAGGTCCAAAAATCTGGGCAACAACACTAGGCTCCCAAACACACCCAACCTGTAACAAACCTGCCCAACACATCCTATAACTCAATATACAAAGTAAAAAGGATGCAAACAAGATAATAAACAACTACCGACATCCACAGACACATGTCCGGATCACTGTACAACAAGGGTAAACCCGGGATCGCTATAATGTGTGTATTACTTTAGTTGTGTTCAATGTATTAAACTTACAAGTATTTAACTTAACACAAGTATTTAACATTTTGTACAAAAAAAAATAAAAATTGTACCATTCAAATGTAAAAAAAAAATAAAATTGTACCATTCTAAAAAGAAAGGGACTATTTTTGAAAATTTAATTTTTTTTTTAAAGACTTGCCATTTTAACATTTATGTGTAATATGGCAAGAGAGTTTATGTTCCTTTTTTTTTTCCACCTTTTTAAGGGAGTATAATATTCTATGTTGCATTTCAAAAATTCTGGTCAATGCATATGTGTGTATTATTTTATTGCTTATAAAATGACTTTCTTATGTGGTGAATTTTTTTTTTTTTGGCATAAATTTATGTTTGGAGTTTCCAAGTCATAAATGGTGAACTTCAAAATATTTATCATTATAATGGGTTTTAATTTTGGTTTTAATTTCATCTCTATAAAATTGAAGTCAGTTAAGAAAGAGAAAAGTTCAAATTCGTACAATTATTGTGCTCGAGTTTTAATTTATCATTTTAATGTGATTGTTAAAAAACATCTATTCTAAATGCTGGGTTGACTCAGAAAATGTGAGTTTGATTATGGGTTTCTCAAAGAATGTAGGGGGGGAGAGAGAGATATATATAGAAATAGGTTATTACAGCAATGAACTGTTTGTTTGGAGCTATTTAAAAATAAATTAAGGGTGATTTATTTAGTTGATCTTCCTGCAACAAAAAAATTAAACTCACACTCAAAAAAAATTATTTTACATTTTATTTGCTGTGTAATATATTTATTTAGTTGTACCATTCAAATGTAATACATTTGTTGTGTGATTTTGGTTTTAATTTCATCTTTATAAAATTAAAGTCAGTTAACAAAATTAGATTATGGGTTCAAATTTAGACCATTTTATTGTGCTCTAGTTTTTATTATATAGATTTTAATGTGACTGTTAAAAAACATCTATTCTAAATGTTGGTTTGACTCAAAAAATGTGAGTTTGATTATGGGTTTCGCAAAGAATGTAGAGAGAGAGAGAGGGGGAGGGGGAAGGGACGGTTTGTTTAGAGCTATTATTTAACATTTTATTTGCTGTGTAATATATTTATTTAGTTGTACCATTCAAATGTAATATATTTGTTGTGTGATTTTGGTTTTAATTTCATCTTTATAAAATTAAAGTCAGTTAACAAAATTAGATTATGGGTTCAAATTTAGACCATTTTATTGTCCTCCAGTTTTTATTATATAGATTTTAATGTGACTGTTAAAAAACATCTATTCTAAATGTTGGTTTGACTCAGAAAATGTGAGTTTGATTTTGGGTTTCGCAAAGAATGTAGAGAGAGAGAGAGGGGGAGGGGGAAGGGACGGTTTGTTTGGAGCTATTTAAAAAGAAAGTAAGGGTGATTTATTTAGTTATCTTCCTGCAACAAAAAAATTAAACTGTCACTCAGAAAATTTTATTTAACATTTTATTTGCTGTGTAATATATTTATTTAGTTGTACCATTCAAATGCAATATTTATTTGCTGTGTGATTCTAATGTATAGATGATAAATATTTTTCATTTAATTTTTTTGTGAATATCTAGAGTTCCTAATTAAAAGAAAAATTTAAAAGACTTGGCATTTTAACATTTATGTGTAATATGACAAGAGAGTTTATTTATTTTTATTTTTTTGCACCTTTTTAAGGGAATATAATATTCTATGTTGTATTTCAAAAATTCTGGTCAATCCTTATGTGTGTGCGTATTACTTTAGTTGTCTTCATGAAAAAAAAAATGTATTAAACTTACAAGTATTTAACTTAACGCAAGTATTTAACATAAAGATTTTTGTTTTGAATCAAATTCACCGAGTATTTAACTTAACCCAAACAAATGTATTTAACATTTTGTTATAAAAAAAATTTAAAAAAAATTGTACCCTTCTAAATAGAGAAGGCACGTGCCTCTAAAAAAAAAATATATTAAACTTACAAGTATTTAACTTAACGCAAGTATTTATCATAAGGATTTTTGTTTTGAATCAAATTCACCGAGTATTTAACTTAACCCAAACAAATGTATTAACATTTTGTTATAAAAAAAAATTTTTTAAAAATTGTACCCTTCTAAATAGAGAAGGCACGTGCCTCTGGTATCTGTTGACCTTTTTCTTTTTCTTAGAAGTTTATATTTTTATTTTTTTTTTCCTCTTCATTGTAACCCGTTAAGTATTTTCTATTCATGGCAGTTATTTATTTAAACAAAATTTTGAATTTTATTATTCGATTTGGTAGCAACATATTTGGAAATAACATTTCATTGCCAATGAAATCCATGTTAACTTTTATTATTGCTAATTTTTTGTTTCTTTGTGTCTAAAATTTTTAGGTTGAAGTACAACAGTTATGAACAATATCACTATTTTTGGTCAAGTAAGTTTTTTTTCTTCTTTTTTCTCTTCATATAAATTTAAGTACCTCTCTAATAAATTTAAGTACAACAGTTATGGACAATATCACTATTCTAATTATTTTTTTTCCTCATGCTTTATAGGTGGATGGGGACTTACACCGAACCGTAATATAGCGATCCCGGGTTTACCCTTATTATACAGTGATCCGGACATATGTCCGTGGATGTTGGTAGTTGTTTATTATCTTGTTTGCATCCTCTTTACTTGTATATTGAGTTATAGGATGTGTTGGGCAGGTTTGTTACAGGTTGGTTGTGTTTGGGAGCCTAGTGCTGCTGCCCAGATTTTTGGACCTTCGCTCGAGCGAGGAGTTGGTCACTCGAGCGAGCGTTGAGTTTGTGTCTGGTGGATCGAGCCAGAGTGGCTTCGCTCGAGCGAGCGATTGCGTCTGGTTCTGGACCTGAGAGTTGCATTTCTTGGCTCGAGCGAGCTTTCTTCGCTCGAGTGGTCTGTTTGTTCTTTGCTCGAGCGAGAAGTCTGTCGCTCGAGCGTGCTCCTGGTTGCAGACCTGAGGGTTTGAGTTGTTGGCTCGAGCGAGCATTCTTTCGCTCGAGCGCACTTCTGAGTTTTTGGCTCAAGCGAGAACTTCTTGGCTCGAGCGAGAGTTTTCTGTGTCTGGTCGCTCGAGCGACAAAGGCTTCGCTCGAGCGAGAGTGTTTTATATCAGCGGACAGTAGCGATTTTGAACTTCACTTTTTCACTTTCTTTTTCTTTCAAACCCTAGATCCGAGACCCTCTCTCTCTAAACTTACACTCTCTCTAAGAATTGATCCTCCTAGAGTGTGAATCTAGCCTAGGGCCTTTGTTAAAAAGATAGAGGGCGTTGAGAGCTTCGATTTAATCTGAAAAAGTTTGGATTTGGAGCACGTTGATCTTCGAGTCTTCATCTCCTTTGTGGCTCAAACTTCGAGGTAGGGATATCCTACTCCTCTCTATGGATTTTGTCTTTAAATTTTAGTATTTTGAGACGTTGGAGTTGGTTTGGTAATTTGTGAAAGTTTGGGGCTTTTGTGCAATTTTACAAAAGTTGGGGTTTTATTCATAATAAACGCATGGAGGCTAAGTATGCAACATGAACATGCAAATGAGCAATGTATACTAGGCGCGCATCCTAAACATGTAAGTAAACATGGCATGCAACAACATGCGATGATAGACTTAAACTAACATGGATAGCTCGCAAGCATGCCAAAATCAGTGGCCATTAGATGAAAAA